TTCGTTGGTTATGAAGAGAATGAGAGATTTCTATTCCCCTGAAGATGCTTTATTAGAATAAAAATGCTTTTACTAACCCCTTTTGTTGCTATTGAAGTGAGCATATGCTTTTTCCCGTGTTAACTTACGAGCAACTTACTGTATACATTGAATTTCTGGAGTAACGCAATACTTTCACTCCTGCAACAAATTTTAATCTGGAACATTATTCTTTCCTTGACTAGCCGAATTCTAGGTAGGAAGTCCCTTAACACTCGTTTCACCTGTGACTATGCAAGATTGGCTACTCTGAGTCCTGTCATCAGGCTGCTGAGCAAACTCAGATCGGCCTCCGGCCCGTGACAGCACGGAGTCCCCTTCCAGGGCTTTCCTTTCCATGTCCTTTCTGTCCAAACGTGGCAGCCGCTCTCCTCCATCTCCAAGCCCCACGCAGCCCGTTCCCGGTAAGCCCGGCTCCTAGGAGGTTCGTGTCCAACCTCCCCGCGGCCAGGCCCTCGGTAGGCGGCAGCGGGTTCCCGAAGTGCTGGGGCGCGGAGCCACCCTCGGACCGGGTTGGGGTCCCCGAGGCGAGGACGCGCCGGCCCACCACAGGGACGGCCCCTCCCGCGCCCCCGCCGTTCGCGCCCCCCACCCCCCCAACCCAGCTCACCGTGCGCTGCGGAGAGGCCGGGCCACAGAATTCATGGGTTTTGGGGCCTTAGGCCGGCGGGCCGGGACCCCCTCGGCCAGTGGCCAGCGGCGCCAGAACAATGACCGGACAGGAAGTGCCTCGGGATGGGCTTCCGGCTCCCCAAGTCGCCATGCCGGCCTCTCTAGGAATCTGGGAGGTGCTTTCCTCTCGATGGGTATCCTATATTGCTGCGGATCAGGGATGCGAGCAAAAGCGCTCAGAAGCGGGGTGCAGGGAGGGTGGGCATCTGCAGGCTGAGCAGGGGCAGTTAAACGAGGCGAGCACCCAGGAGCCCGAAGCTACAAAGATTTAATCTGTAGAAAGCCCTGATAATTTTGCTCCAAATGTTTTATTTTGAAACTATCAAACAGGTACAGAAAAGTTGAAAGGTACAATACCTGTAGCCTCCATCTGGACTTATCAACCTTTGCTACGTTTGCTTTGTACCATACATACTGAAAAACATTTTTTTGTAAGTGGTAAACATCAAAACACTTCATTCCAAATACTTCAATATTCATCCTTTCATAATAATATTCTCCAAACACCATCATTACAGGTAAGAAAACTAGTAATTTCCTAATATTAACTAATATAGTTATTCAAATTTTCCCCTGTCCTAAAATACATATTTCATAATTTTGTTTTTCCAAATCAGTTTCCCACACTGCATCACACTCCTTAGTCTCTGTTTTTACTTTTTATTTTGACTTTAAAGATTCACAGGAAGTTGCAAAGATACTAGCCTCCCCAAGCAGGTATATCTTACATAATTATATAAAACTCAGAAAATCAAGATTGGTACAATGTGTGTGTATAATTCTGTCATTTTATCACAATATGTATAGATTTGTATAATCAACACAATCAAGATACACACAACTGTTCCAACTCTTAGATTTCCCTCCCTCTCCCCTGCTTCCTCCCACCATTCCCAACTTCTGGCAACCACTAATTTGTTTTTCACTTACGAAGTTTTGTCATTTTAGAAAATTATGTAAATAGAATTATACTCTTTTACCTTTTGAGATTGGATTTTTCACTCAGCATAATTCACTTAAAATTCACTTGAGTCATTGCAGGTATCGATAGATTACTCAATTTTATTGCAGAGTAATAATTATTTCATCATATAGATATACCAATTTGTTTAACCACCTACTGAAGGACATTTGGGTTACTTACAAATTTTGATTATGAAAAAAACTGCTATGACAGTCACGTACAAGTCTTCACCTGAACGTTAGATTTCACTTCTCTGGGATAAATGCTCAAAAGACCAATACTGGGAAGAAACTGCCAAACTATTTTCCAGAGTGGCTGTGCCATTTAACATTCCTGGCAAATGAGATCCATTTTCTCCACATCCTTGCCAGCATTTGATGTGAACACCATTTATCTGTTTCCAAAGCTATTCTGTGCAGTTATTTTTAACTTGCATTTCCCTACTGACTAATAATGTCAAACAACTTTTCATTTGCTTATTTGCCATCCATACTTTGGTGAAATGTATGACTTTTGCTCATTTTTAAGTTAAATCTATTTACTGAGTTTGGAGAATTCTTTATCTAGTCTAACTACAAATCCTGTATGGATGTTAGGATTTGTAAATATTTCATCTTCTTAAGAGACTTTTACTATATTTTACTTTTTAAATTGATTTCAGAGAGGGAGAGGGAGAGGGAGACAGAAACATCAATGATGAATCATTGATCTGCTGCCTCCCGCACACCCTAGGCCATCTGCCCTGACCTGGAATCAAACCATGACCTCCTGGTTCATAGGCAGATGCTCAACCACTGAGCCATGCCAGCCTGGGCCCCTCAAGAGTTTTTTAAAGAGCAAATAACATTTTCCTCTTATGGAGCATGTTTTTTATAAAAATCTAAGAATTCTTTGCTTAGTTTCCAATTATTCATTTATTTAGCCTATGGACATCCAATTGTTCCAGCAGCATTTGCTGGAAAGTCCCTCCTCTGCTGAATTCCTTTTGTATCTTTGTCAAAAATCAATTGGGCATTTGTGTGAGTCTATTCCTGCCTTAGCATCTTATTGCTCTTTAGTATCTTATTTTTTTAAAATACATTTTATTGATTTTTTTACAGAGAGAAAGGGTGAGGGATAGAGTTAGAAACATTGATGAGAGAGAAACATCGATCAGCTGCCTCCTGCACACCCCCCACTGGGGATGTGCCTGCAACCAAGGTACATGCCCTTGATCGGAATCGAACCTGGGACCCTTGAGTCCACAGGCCAATGCTCTATCCACTGAGCCAAACCGGTCAGGGCTCTTTAGTATCTTTTTAAAAAACATGTATTTTTATTGATTTTAGAGAGGGAGAGGGAAATAGAAACATCAATGATGAGAATCATTGATCAGCTGCCTCTTGCACACACCCCCACTGGGGATCAAGCCTACAACCAGGACGTGCGCCCTGACCAGGAATCGAACCGTGACCTCCTGCTTCATAGGTTGAAGCTCAACCACTGAGCCACGCTTGCTGAATGATCTTTAGTATCTTTTAAACACAACTTCCCAATTCACATTGTATACCTTTTACTGTTAAATTTCATACATACTGTATATAAAAGCAGAGAACAGTACAATGAACTCTCAATACTCATCCAGCTTCAAAGATTATCACCTCTCCCCTTTTCATCATTGTCATTTTGAAGAATACAGTGCAGTTTTCTTGTACAATATCCCACATCTGAATTTGTTTCTCCTGATGTCATTTATCTTGTTCTTCTGCTTCCTGTAGGTCCTGTAAACTGGCAATCTGGTCCAAGAAGCTTGATGAATTCAGGTTATACTTTTAGCTTATTGATTCCCTATGAGGAGGCACATTATATGGGTTGTTTCAGCCTTAATAATGTTGCATTTTAATTGGTTAAGAGGTAAATGCTAGTTTTCTCCATTCTTAAAGAACATTTACCTTTGTAATTATTACATAATCCGGGGTGATTCTTCTGCAGCATGGATATAAAACAATTTCATATTCATTACCTTGTAATAACTTCATGAGGTATTCTTCCTCCTGCTTAACAAATGAGCAAATCAAAGTTCCAAGAAATGAAGGCATTTGTCCAAGTTGAAGAATCTAACTCATAACCAGGTCTTAAGATTTTTAACCTTGGGCCCATTCCAGTATTCACTTTTGGGTACCTTCATTCTAATGAGGAACCAGCCCTCAGAGGAAATTTGGAGTTGAATTAATAATTATTATAATCAACATACCACTTCAATACTACTGGTAATTAGGAAACACAATCCTGATAGTAATAGTCCAGCTGCAGAATTAGAGTTTTGAGAATGATAACATAAAATTATCAACTCAAAGATACAGGTTGAATTAAATTTACAAATGTACAAAAGGGAAAACTGAATGAATGGTTGCTTTACAGGGAATAATGGGCCTAACGGCTCAGAAATGTATCCTGAATTGGTTTAATTAGAGCTTGAAGGGTTTGTTTCTTAAGTAAAAAGCTATCTCATGTCAACAATGATAAATTGAGGGCAATGCCAGGGATAATCAGCTCACGGGTTGGGGTTAAGGACTTTTCCCTATGAACAAGGTAAGCAACATAGGACTGCCCTTCCATTCTGATACTCTACATACACTAGGTTTCAAATTTGAAGGTTGAAAAGAAATTGTTTGCATTGGTATCAGTGTTAATGGGTGGATATATTATTTTCCCACAATAATTCAGTATTGTTATGTAAAAACAAACTAGGGCAGTGGTTCTCAACCTTCCTAATGCCTCGACCCTTTAATACAGTTCCTCATGTTGTGGTGACCCCCAACCATAAAATTATTTTGATGCTACTTCATAACTGTAATTTTGCTACTGTTATGAATCGTAATGTAAATATCTGATATGCAGGATATATTTTCAGGGGTCACGACCCACAGGTTGAGACCGCTGAACTAGGGTCTATTAACTCCCTTAAACATTTAAAAAAATCATTTTCCAGTTGTTCAAGCAAACAACCTAAAATTCTTTTTTTTTAAATTGATTTTAGAGAGAGAAGGAGGGAGGAAGAGAAACATTGCCTGGTTGCCTCCCATATGCACCCCGACTGGGGATCAAACCTGCAATCTAGGTATGTGCACTGACCAGGAATTGAACTGGCAATCTTTTGGTGTATGGGATGCCACTCTAACCAACTGAGCCACCAGCCAGGGTTCCCTTAAACATTTTTTGTGGGAGGAGTTAATCCTTACCTGAGGATATTTTTCCATTGATGTTTTTTTAGGGAGAGTGGAAGAGAAAGGGAAATACAGAGAGAAACATCAATGTGAAACAAACAGACTGGTTGCCTCCTGCACAAGCCTTGACCAGGGCCCAGGCGGGGGAGGAGCCTGCAACCAAGATACGTGCCCTTGTCCAGAATAGAACTTGGGACCCTTTGGTCTGCAGGCTGATGCTCTATCCACTGAACCAAACCTGCTAGGGCCCTTTAAATATTTTTAAAGCTGTATTTTTTACGTCTTCTTAGAGAGCTAAATTCCAGTTAGCTATCTACCACATTTCATCTTATTATAAAAATGAATGCCTTTCGAGGTTCACAGAGTGTGAATATTAATTAATGAACAAATATTACATTATGCCATGTTCTAGACTGTGACTATAATAACCCTTTTATCCAACTTTACTGACAACTAAATTACTTCACAAAGTACTTTCACAAAGATTCTTTCACTTAATCCTCTTAACAATCCTGTGAGGTAGGCATTATGTTAATATTTGACTGACAGAAACTGAGGCTTACATGCTGACTTACATATTGGTAGTAAGAGAAAGGGCCAGGACCTAAACCTAGGTCTTCTGATTCCAAATCCAGTGCTCTTCTTATATTATCCTCAAACAGCAGGCTCTTGCTCACCCAACTCCATGTGTGACATGTCTCAATCATATTGTCCATACAGACTTTCTGCAGCAGTGATTCTATCTTTAAAATGTATAATATACACATTTTCAGAAACTTCCACTTTTTAATACAAAGATATTTTTGCTACCACTTATATCATTACATCCCATAAGACATAAATCCAATTTCTTCAGAGTCCTCAATTGATCCAACGTCTCTTACTGGGTCATAACAAATGGTCTGGAACAGAGTACAGTGGGGCCTTGACTTATGAGTTTAATTCATTCCATGACGGAGCTCGTAACTCAAATTACTCGTATGTCAAATCATTAAAGTGAACGAGTGAGACACGTGATGCTGGGATGATGTTGTGGCGTTCACTGTGACGTTCACTGCGCCAACTAGCGGTGGGGTATCTGAAGCTGGCTCATAATCCGAATTTTAGCTCGCAACTCAAAGCGAAAAATCGTCGGAGAGACGGCTCGTAACTCGAAAAATTCGTTAGTTGGGACACTCGTAAGTCAAGGCCCCACTGTATACTTTAACTAGAATTTGGTTTGATTTTCTATTCTTGAAAATCTACAATAACCTTCTTTCACATGCAACTCACTTGAATATAATAGAGGCAATCACAAATTCTTTTAAGAACCATATATTGCCATTTCTCCAACAGTTACTTATATAGGCAGGAATTCTATTCCATTTTACATATGACACTACATTTTCTGAATCTCTAACTTGGACTCAGCTCATTGGCATTTTGAAGCCAAGAGAATTCTTCCATGGTATGGATTTTTTGTTGAAGATGAAGGTTTGAAGTTTGAGAGAATTCTTTGTCAGACTCATCACATTCACAGAGGTTTTCAACTGTATGAACTTTCTGATGCACAGAAAGGTTTTTTCGTTGCCTAAAAACTTTGTTACAATCATTACACCCATATGGTTTCTCCCCTGTGTGGATTCTCTGGTGGCCAACTAAATTCCTCTTAGAAGTAAAAGATTTTCTACACTTCTCACACTCATATGGTTTTTCCCCAGTGTGCATTCTCTGATGTACAACAAGGTTTTTATTCTGACTGAAGTCTTTTCCACACACATGACATTTATAAGGTTTCTCTCCAGTGTGGATTCTCTGATGGACCATAAGATTTCTACTAGAGGTGAGGACTTTTCTGCATATATGACATTCGTAGGTTTTTTCCCCACTGTGAATTCTTTGATGTTCAATAAGGTTTCTGTTGTAAGTAAAGCCTTTCCCACACTCATTGCATGCATAGGGTTTCTCACCAGTGTGGATCCTTTGATGGGCTATGAGGTTTGAGCGGTAACTAAAGACTTTCCCACAGTCACTGCATTTATAAGATTTTTCCCTTGTGTGAATCCTCTGATGTCCAATAAGGCTTTTCTTCAGAATGAAGCATTTGCCACACTCATTACACTCATAGGGTTTCTCACCACTATGGATTCTCTTATGTTCAATGAGATTTCTGTTAGAACTGAAAGCTCTTCCACACTCATGGCATTCAAAGGGTTTTTCCCCAGTGTGGATTCTCCGATGTACCAACAGGCTTGAATTGTAACTGAAAGCCTTCCCACAATCCTCACATTTGTAGGCTTTTTCCTGTGTATGAAGTTTCTGATGGACCATGAAACTCTTGCTCATAATGAAGGTTTTCCCACACTCTCGACATTCATAGGGCTTCTCCCCACTGTGGAGTCTCTCGTGGTCAATCAGGTTTCTGTTAGAACCAAAGACCTTGCCACAATCTTTACATTCATAGAGATTCTCTCCAGTGTGGAACCTCTGATGTAAAATGAGGCTTTTCTTTAGAATGAAAACTTTCCCACATTCATTACATTCATAGGGCTTCTCCCCATTGTGGAGTCTCTGGTGGTCAAAAAGGTAAGCACTCTGAGTGAAGGCTTTCCCACAGTCTGTACATTTATAAGGCTTCTCTCTGCTATGCATCCTCTTATGGTCAATGAGGTTTGACTTAGAATTGAAAACCTTCCCACATTTTTTGCAACCAAAGGTCTTCTTTTCTGTGTGTACTCTCTGGTGTAAAAGGAGGCTTTTGCTTCGAATGAAAACTTTTCCACATTCTTTACATTTGTATGGGTTCTCTGCACTGTGCAGTCGCTGGTGGTCAACAAGGTAAGTGGTTTGAGCAAATGTTTTTCCACATTCATCACATTTATAGGGTTTTTCCCCAGAGTGGATTCTCTGGTGCAAAATGAGGCTCTTCTTCAGGATGAAAGCTTTCTGACACTTGTTACATTTATAAGGTTCTTCCCCTTTGTGGAGCCTCTGGTGGTCAATGAGGTAAGCATTCTGAGAGAAAACTTTTCCACATTCATTACATTTATAAGGTCTCTCCCCAGAGTGGCGCCTCAGGTGTATAATAAGGCCCGAGTGCCTATAGAAGCCCTTTCCACACTCCTTACATTTATAAGGTTTCTCCCCAGTGTGGATTCTTTGATGGTTTAGAAGGTAAGCACTTTGAGAGAAGGCTTTCCCACATTCATTACACTTATAAGGTTTCTCCCCAGAATGGTTCCGTAAATGCATTAAAAGGCTTGAACGCTGAATAAAGCCTTTTCCACACTCCTTACATTTATGAGGTTTCTCACCCGTGTGGATTCTCCGGTGGTTTATAAGATGGGAGATTTTACTGAAATGTTTACAACACATGTCACATTTATAAAACTTCTTTCCTTCAGTACCCATTAAACTTTCAGAAAGAGCTGAATCTAAAGTCAAGCTTTCTCCAAATTCCTTCCACTTCCGGCCTCGTTTTCCTGGTGGAGTCCTTTTCTTCTTGTCTCGCTCATAGAGAGAACATTTCTTCGATGTATCTCTTTCACTTGATTCATTTCCCCACTGTCTTGCCGAAACTTGCCATGCACACTCTTTCTCAAAATCAAGGACCTGGGGAATACCTCCTGGAAGTCTTTTTGATGTTCCTTTCTGAGAATCTGCTCTTTGAGATATGCTTGACTTTGCTGTTACCTCCTCATTCTCAGTCATGGTCTCCCATTCTGGTAAAAAGAATAAAAGTGTCTGTGTTAGTGAGAACAAATCTTCAAATGACTTTAACAAGCTAGAAGGATACACGTTTATATGCATACAAAAAGGAGAAACTTTTCATTAAACGCAGGTTAAAAGCAGAATGCTATATTGACAGAATGTTGTAAATGGATTAACAGAACTCACTCTGAGATGCATCTAATGCTTTGTCTTCAGGGAGCAGCTGAAAATATATATTAATGTTGAAAACATAGATGCAAGGAAGAATGAGAGAGAACATGCTATTTTATACAGGTGGTTCAGACTTGAGGAACAGGAAGTTGGATGGAAAAAGAAGAATCATTTGACTTATAAAAAACTGTCTTTTTATTTTCTTCTTGCTAGGAAGATGGGAACTCTAAAAATAAAAAAAAAAGGAAAAGAAAATATACCTAAGGATTCTGAGAGGCAATCTTAAAATTTGGCCTTAGCTGGTTTGGCTCAGTGGATAGAGCGTCGGCCTGCGGACTGGGGGGTCCCAGGTTCGAGTCCAGTCAAGGGCACATGCCTGGGTTGCGGGCTCGATCCCCAGTTGGGGGACGTGCAGGAGGCAGCCAAGCAATGATTTCTCTCATCATTGATGTTTCTATCTCTCTCTTCCTCTCCCTTCCTCTCTGAGATCAATAAAAATATATTTTTTAAAAAATTTGAAGAGCCAAGTCCATAAATACTTTATAATTACTTGAAAGTAATTAACCTGAGGAAAAAAGTCCATTAAAAAGCAACTTAATGCTGCCAGGCCAGTATGGCTTAGTAAGTTGAGCAGCGCCCCATGCACCAGGAAGTTACCAGTTCGATTCCGGGTCAGGGTGTCAAAACAATTCAATAGGGAAAGAATGGTGTTGAGATAACTGAATAGCCACATGTATAAGAATGAAGTTGGACCCTTACCTTACACAAAAATTAATGCAAGATGGATCAAAGACCTCAATGTAAGAGCTAAAACTATAAAACTCTTAGAAGAAACAGACATAAAAATCATCATGACCTTGAATTAGGCAATGGTTTACTAGATGACACATGCAGCAAAAGAAAAAGTAAATTGGAATTCACCAAAATGAATAACTTTTGTGCTTCAAAGACTATCACCAAGAAAGTGAAAAGGCAACTGACAGCATGGAGAAAAGAATCTGAATAGACATTTCTTCAAAGACATACAAATAGCCAATAAGCACATGAAAAGTTGCTTTACATTATTAGCCATCAGGAAATGCAAATCATTTCAGACAGACTAGGATGACTATAATCAGAAAGACAGATAATAACAAGTATTGTTGAAGATTTGGAGAAATTGAAACACATATACAGTTGGTGAGAGCGTAAAATGGTGCAACAACTTTGGAAAACAGTTTGTCAATTCTTCAAATGATTAAGCGTAAGAGTTGCCATATGACCCAGCAATTCCACTCCTAAGTATATATCCAAAAGAAATGAGAACATATGTATACACAAAAACTTGTACACAAATGTTCACAGCAGTGTTATTCATAATAGCCCAAAGGTGGAAGCAACCTAAAGGTCCATCAACTGATGAACGGATCAATAAAATGTTATATATCCAGATAAACAAATATATGCCCATAAAAAGGAATGAAGTATTAATATGCTGCAACGTTGAGGAACCTTGAAAACATTACACTGGGTAAAAGAATTCAGTCATAACAGACCACATATTGTATGATTCCATTTTTATGAAATGTCCAGAATGGAACTGGTTGCAGTTGTCTCCATCTCAATATCAAGAAGCTTATGCCATTCTCATACCAATTATTTTACTTTGCCTCATTATTCATTCTATGTTCATCTCCCAAACCATGGTAAGCTACTTAATGACAGAATCACATCATTTCCACAGTTGCCACTACATGATAGATGTTTAATGTGAAAGTACAAATAGCTAATAAATTTTTTAAAATACTCTTAAAAAAAATAAAAATACTCTTACTTTATTACTAATCAAAGAACTCCAGTTGGGAATATATAGATACTATAACTTTTAAAAATTATGTTAGCACCATAGCTGGGTATTGATTAGCGTGTCATCCCCATACGCCAAGATTGTGGGTTCGATCTGCTTTCAGGGAACATATAAGAATCAACCAATGAATGCATAAATAAGTGAAACAACAAATCTGCTCTTTCTCTCTCTCTCTCCTCCTCCCTCCCTCACTTTCTTCCTCCCTCCCTCCCTTTTCCCCTACCTCTCTATCTTTAAAATCAATCAATAAATTTTTTAAAATTATAATTGCAACAATTTAAAAGAATGGGATTACTCAGCACCAGTGAAAGCAGAACAAAAGGAGCATTCTTCTGTACTGACAGTAAGAGCCGGGATGACAGTGATCACTATGGAAAGCAATTTGGCAAGCAAGAGCCTTAAAACAATTCAAACACTTAGTCCGAGTAATTCTACTTCCAAAAAATAATCCTATATAATAAAAGCCTAATATGCTAAGTGTCCAACCATTTGACCAGTTGCTATGACACACACTAACCACCAGGGGATAGATGCTCCGACCGGTAGGTTAGCTTTCTGCTGGGGTCCGGCCAATCGGGATTGGGTGAGATGGGCTGGACATGCCCTGGAGCCCTCCCCAGCTGGCCAACCTCTGGTGGGCTCTCCCCGGCCAGCCGGCCCCAGCCAGCCCCAATTGGCCCTGATTGAGACTGAGCAAGATGGGCCGGACACGCCCTGGAGCCCTCCCATGGTCCCTCCCTGGCCCCAATCGTGCAACGGTGGGGTTGGCCAATCCCTGCAAGCCAGGCCAAGGGACCCCACTGGTACATGAATCCATGCACCAGGCCTCTGGTGAGTAATAAAGAAAGGTCTTAAACATATATGATTAATATAGTAATTATCTAAAATAAGAAAATAGCTAACTGAATTATGGCACAAATTATGTAACCAGTATAGATAATATTTGCAATTTTTAATAATATGAAAATGCAAAAACGGCAAGCTTTAAAACTGTACACACATACACACACACACACACACACACACACAAACACACACTTATAACAATGTAAAAAAACCTATAATAGCCCTAGCTGGTTTGGCTCAGTGGATAGGGCATTGGCCTGTGGACTGAAGGGTCCCGGGTTCAGTTCCAGTGGGGGGCACATGCCTGGGTTGCGGGCTCAATCCCCAGTGGGGGACGTGCTGGAGGCAGCTCATCAATGATTCTCATCATTGATGTTTCTCTCTCTCTCTCTCCTTCTCCCTTCCTCTCTGAAATCAATACAGAAATATATTTTTTAAAAAAACAACCTCAAATACACAGAAAAAAGCAGAAATATATTAAAATTTTTATAACTGTCTATAAGTAGTGGGTTTAAGGAAGATTTTTTCTTTTCTAACATTTTCTTTTCCAACATAAGTATACACTATTTTCATAATCAGAAAATAAGCAAAAGCTGATGATAAAGGTAAGAATCATGGGACGAAAGGTCCTTACCTAGGGAGGTCACATTTCCATAATTCTCCAGCATCACATCCCAGTACAAGGCCCTCTGAATTGGGCCCAGGCATGCCCATTCCTCTGCAGTGAAGCACACTGATACCTCCTCAAACATCACCAACTCCTGAAATAACAGGTATGTGTGGTTACCCACGCCCAGGAGCTCCCCTACTGAAAGGTTCCTTTCACATGGTGAAGTCATGAGGTGGGCAAGGGATATCAGCGATATAGGAAGACCCCACGTAAAGTCTGCATGGACCTTGATTTAGAGATGGGAACTGGACACTAAGCACTAGGATGAGAGAGGGCACTTGGGGGTACAGTTAGGTGGTTCAGATGGATCCTTAGGAAGGAAAAAGGATGCAAACCTCACCTGGGGCTGGGCTGTTAGGAGCATGAGTGCCATCAATTGATTTCTTGGGTTCTCTTCCTGGGAAAGGGCAGAAGCTTCAGGGGCAGGAGAATCTGAGGAAGGAGGAAAAGCAGCATTGAGATTTCTGCGGTCCCTGCCAACTACTCCAAGTCCAATATCTATACAGGTGAGGGGGGCGGTGCCAGGCCAAGTCGGGTTTCCAGGCAGGGCTGTGGGTCTGTGAGGCTGGGGGCACGAGCTGGGGCCTGATCTCTGCAGGCCACCCCAAGGGACCCCACCGGTGCAAAAATTCGTGCACCGGGCCTCTAGTCTATATATATAAAAGCCTAAGCAACTGGCCTACCAGTAGCTATGACATGCACTGACTACCAGGAGGCAGACACTCGACGCAGGAGCTGCCGAACTACGGTGACTTGGCAGCTGCGGTTCTCTGGTGACGAGCCCGATTCTGGGGTGCATCACCCAAGAACCGCCCTCTCGCAATCTGGAACCCCTCAGGGGATGTCAGAGAACTGGTTTCGGCCCAATCTCCGCAAACCTGGCCTAGGGACCCACACCGGGCCTCTAGTCTTCTATAAACAAGGAATTCAGAAAGATCCAGAACTCTCATGTCTAGGCAATGATGGCTATAAAGTTACCTACAAACCTTCCATGTACAGGGCTGGAATAACACAAAGAGCATTAATAGGGATGGATGAAAGGTCAGAGACCCAGAAAAGGACAAGAGGGAGAACAGAAAGAGCTTGTCACCATAAAGAATTCATTCAAAGGATAGGAGAGGAAGCAACCACCTGGGAGTAGAGGGATAAGCCACAGTAAAGGTCCAAGAAAAGAAAGGAAATCCAAAGCCAGGGCTACTAAATAAGTACCATGTTGAGGATCCTGAAGGTTGAACACAGCTGGATCAGTAAGAGGATTTGGGCAAATTTCAGCTGATATGTGACTCCCCGGGGGTGCCTGAGGATGTGCTGTTCCTGGCATGCTCATGGCCTCCTGGTCCTGGACAAGGACTGGAACCTGGGAATAAACAAAACAAAATAAGCTGGCTCTTCTTGTACCTCCAGAAAACCAACTCACCTAACCACTGTGGACCTCTTTCTGCCCATAATCTAGAACTGTGAGATCAGAGACCCACCTCAAGTATGGAGCATCAAAACAGCAGAAAAACTTTGCCTAGAGCTGCCCTCTAGCCCCACTCAGGGCACTGGTGACCTCTCCCAGAAGAGACTGAACAGAACAGTGGAAACAGAAGCCAGACCTGCGTGAGGGTTAGGAGGGAATGGGAAGTAACAAGCAATAATTAAGAGCATGTGTTTTAGCTTTAGACCTAGTTTTAAACACTCTTCTACTTATTTACCCCTTTATTTATCCCTTCCTGCTCCAGTGGAAGGAACACTAGAGTAGGAGTCTAAACATGTGGTTTTGCTGCCAGCTAGATGTCTGGCCTAAGGCAATCCAGTGAACCCTTTTCTGCCTCTGTTTTACTATTTCTCAAATGAGGAAGATGCATTAGTGATGTTTAATGAAATATATAGCTTCAAAATTCTTCATTTTTATGATTAAACAAGCCCATCTTTGGTGCCACTGCCAAGTTGAAATTCTGTTTCAGACTTCTAATAGAAATATTTCTAGTGGACTACAGATTGACAGAGTTCTCACATATACACACTAGGAACTATATAAGATCCCAACTTAATAGTTAAGGATATAAAATCTTATCAGAAGCAAATATCTCAACCCAATCCTCTGGCTCACAGAAACCCAAGTAGGGGAACACATGGCAAAGTCTCGCCAGATCTAGAAAGCTTTATTCTTATTCTCTCACTGCCTTTTAACTTCAGGTTCATATTATCATTGCAAACAAAGAATACATATGCTTCTGTTCAGGAGAACACTTAGCAACCTTATGTTCTTCAGGTTCTTGAACCAAACTCAACATTAGCAAGCATTACCCAGGAGGACAGAGTGCAGTCAATGACTTTGTGCTGATTCTGAACTGGGCCCAAAGACCCCACTCATAAATTCATTTAACTGCAAAGATATCCTATGGTCTGAATAGCTCATGAACCAGTTTTAATTACCATTAGGGTTGCTAATATGCTATCGTTAATGAAAAATCATAGGCTCGCCCTCCAGTCCTGCCTCAATTTTCTCCTTCCTTCTATCCCAAATTCTTCCCCCTCGCCCTTTCTCACTTTTAGCGCTGGTCCATCGAGGTCTTTCTGCAGCTCTTCTACGAGGGCCACGGCCTCCTCACCACTCCCAGGGCGCTGGATCTGCACCCAGGTCCGAATCTCCCCAGGCAAGATGCTCAGGAACTGCTCCAGCACCAGCAGCTCCAGGATCTGGGCCTTGGTGCGTGCTTCTGGCCTCAGCCAACGGCGACAGAGCTCCCGGAGCCGGCTCAGCGCCTCCTGGGGTCCAGCTGTCTCATGGTACCGTAACTGTCTAAAGTGCAGATGGGAGGTCTCCCAAACGGAGGAGCTGCTCCCTTGGAAGCTGGTTCCCCATTTCCAGGTATCATCCTTCCCCTTAACAAGACCCTCTTGTCTCAGAGCATTGTGGGCCCAACTTTCTCTTGTCATTGTCTTTAGTTAAGAAAGCCTCTTCTCTGGGCCCCCTCAATCCTTGCTTGACTTCTTCCTTAGAGCTTGGAGAACATCACCTACAAGACTTCAAAAAAATCATTGTTAAAGTTAATGCAGTGAAACCACCAAGTTTTCCAGCCCCCAGTCAGCTCCCAGTGATGAAGAGGAAATCCCTAAATGCAAGGTTCTAGGCTTGCAGCAGTGCCTCCTTTTTTTAAAATATATATTTCATTGATTTATTTACAGAGAGGAAGGGAGAGGGATAGAGAATTAGAAACATCGATGAGAGAGAAACATCATCAATCAGCTGCACACCCCCTACTGGGGATGTGCCCGCAACCAAAGTACATGCCCTTGACCAGAATCAAACCTGGCACCCTTCAGTCTGCAGGCCGACGTTCTATCCATTGAGCCAAACTGGTTAGGGCAGCAGTGCCTCCTTTGACAGAAGCCCCCTGCTCAAGGCTCTGGGGACAATGACACAGGGCAACCAGACCACTGCTGAAACCATACACATGAAATTCCTTTGGTTTTTATTCACAACGCCTCCTTCTTTTATCCAGCACTCCAACAATGGGCATCCTGGCTAGCCCTGTGTGATTTTAAACAAGTTACCTCACTCCTGAGTCTGTCTTTTAACCTGAAAAATAGGGGTAATAACAGTTTCTATTTTATACGCTTGTTGTAAGAATTTGATGTCTAAATACACCTTAAGTTTTTGAACAGTGACTAGTATATAGATTCAAATGTTAGTTATCCTTCTGTAACTTGCATTCTTTCCTATGTTCTGTCAACAAGTAACCATGGTCTTAATCCTGATACAATTTTCTTATTACAGAACAGAAAATTTGTATAACCAGAAACACACACAAAACCAAGAGTAATCACTGCTATGCTCAGGACAGTGTTCTTCCAGTCCTTGCTCTCGGCACCAATTTGGAGCACAAGATTGGATCCAACTGTACTGCTCTGTAACTTACTTTCCACACGTATTGTTGTGAACATAATATTAAGTAGTCATCATTATTTTTAAGAGCACATGAGTCCATTCATACTTACAGAGTCCCCTGTTATTATACATTTAAGTTGTTCATAATTTCCCCTATTATAAATTAGGCCACAATGACTATTCTTGCTAATAAATTTTTGTTTACAAATCTGTTTATCTCTTCAGGAAAAATTCCAAGAAAAAAACTGTCGGGCCAAAAAAGGTATAGTTTTAAATATCTTTTCATATATCACTGATACATATATATGCGTTATATCTGTATCAGTGATATATGACAGCACCTTCATTAATTTTATTTAGCACGCTTATAAATGAGCAATGGAGGCGGAAATATAAATACGATTTCAATATAATGTGTAAGTATAATTAATAGGAGGGCATACAAGCACAGAAAGAATTCATGAAAGTAATCTTGGATTGGGCTTTAAAGGAAAATTTTTTTTTTAATACATTTTATTGATTTCCCACAGAGAGGAAGGGAGAGAGACAGAGAGCCAGAAACATCGATGAGAGAGAAACATCGATCAGCTGCCTCCTGCACACCCCCCACTGGGGATGTGCCCGCAACCCAGGTACATGCCCTTGACCGGAATCGAACCCGGGACCCCCCAGTCCGCAGGCCGACGCTCCATCCACGGAGCCAAACCGGCTCCGGCTAAAGGAAAATTTTTTTAAAAACACTGGAATATTAGGAAAGCCATTCCAGGAAGAAACATAATTTCAAAATCAAGGGAGGGACATACAGCTCTGTTAGAAATGTGCTTTGCAAGCCAAAAAAGGGAAGTAAGCTCTAGAGGTAAGGTTGCCGGAGTAGAGCAGAGAAATAAACAGAAGTCAAATTCTAAAGACTGTTGAGAGGCCGAACAAGAAGGTGATAATGTACTGTAAGTGACAAGCACCAGTAAAAAGGTTTTACTTTACATTTTTTCTTTTTTGTAATTCTCTTTTCTCACAAATGATAGAACACCATGAATCCCGTACTGCGTCTTCTTTCCTCAATTAACAGTGTATCTTAGCGATCTTCCTTGCTGGTACATAGCTCCTCCCTCTTTTTATGAATGCATTTACCCAACTCCAGCACTGATCCAAAAATAAACAACTCATACGCTGGATTTCATTAAAACAAAAAACTTCTGACCTGCAAAAGACAATGTCAAGAGAATAAGAAGTTAGCCCTAACCAGTTTGGCTCAATGGATAGAGCATCGGCCTGCGGACTGAAGGGTCCCAGGTTCCATTCCGGTCAAGGGCATGTACCTTGGTTGCGGGCACATCCCCAGTAGGGGGCGCAGGAGGCAGCTGATCGATGTTTCTCTCTCATCGATGTTTCTAACTCTCAATCCCTCTCCTTTCCTCTCCGTAAAAAATCAATAAAATATTTTTTTTAAAAAAATAAACACTGGCTTTATAATCAAAGTGTGTATACATTTTGGGGGGACACCCTGTAGAGTATTTCTGAAGTAATGGTGGCGCGGGTAGTCTAAGTTTGCTTTTTAAATACCATTATATTACAAAATTAAAGGATGGGGACTTGGCCCCTCCCTCAAGGGAGAGAAAAAGGAGCCCAGAAGTCCGGGAGCCTCTGCTCCAGGCATGTCTCCAGGTGTTTCTGGGCATCGGCCTCCGGGAAGATTGGGGACCCTGGCCGCCCGGCTGCGTCCCCCCAGGGGCGGCAGGGGCGAGGGGACTCGAGCACCGGGCTCCTCGGCGCTGCCCCCCAAACCTCCCCGCGCCGCAGCCGCCCAAGTCGAGGCCGCAGCGCCCGCCTCCACTCCGAGCCGAGGAGGGACCGCGCGGCGGTCAGCGGCGGGGACGAGGGCGGAGAGGACAGCGCACCCGGGCCGCCTCCGCGCATGCCCGCCCGGCCCAGCCCACCCCGCTCACCCGGGCTCCCGCGGCGGCTCCGGCTTCGGGCGCCGTCGCCTGGGCGCCGGGACGCTGGGGGGTGACTTGAGAGCTAGACGCGCCGGCAGCCAGCGGAGGCCCGGAATAACGGGGCGAAGGCGGTGGGGCCGGGGGTGTCCCGCGGGTCCCGCGACTTCCGGCTGCTCGCCACGCCCACCCCTACTGTCTAGGTCTAGGAAGCCACATCTCTATGGTTCCTCGCTTTTTCCAGGGGAGGCTCCTAGTGGCTGAGCTTGGGGGTCTCGGTTCCCCCCAGCGAATGAGTGGGAGGGCTGCAGCGTTTCGGACACGAAGGATGCGGGGAGAAGCACACGGCCCATGCCCTCGGGACGCCCGTGGCCTCCAGAAGGAGCTGGGCCCGTTTTCATTTGCATGTAAATTGAGGTTGTTTGGAAGTCATTTCTGATATGGACCTCCTGGGCACCTTTTCCTCTCTATTCTTGAACCTATGCATTTCTTACCGTGAGTAATAACGTGGCTTATCAATGACCCCCTCGTGAATTCATTTACTTGTGGGTGTATCTCTTGCCCAAGTGATGAGATAATGCACCACCTTACCTCTGAGAAGTACGATCAACACAACTCCTGTGTTTGTGGTTTTCCTGTCCTACTCCGTCTTAACCTGTCAGGAGGGCACAGTTATCTCCCTTTTTGGGGAGGTAAGAATTATACCAGATCCTTTGTCATAGATCAATCACATACCAATTTGCATTAAAAGCAACCCTGGTAGAGTGGAGTTTGTTTGTTTTGGTAATCCTCAGGCAGGCTCTACCCTGCAATCCAGGTACAGGTCCCTTGATGGGGAATTGAACCCACAAGCCTTTGGTGTCAGGCTGACACTCTAACCACCGAGAAACACCAGCCAGGGCATGAGTGGAGTTTTATAGGAAGTTGAGAAACACCTTAACATTCAGACTGGGATCTCCATATTAGTTGATGAAGGTTCTGAGATCTTAGCCCCACCTTGAACTGTCAGCACTCTGCCTACAGCCTCTTCTCAAATAACTATCCTGATGATGTTTATGCCCTTATACCAAGCCAAACATAACTTTGTTTCCTCGGATAAGGTCCTATGGAAAATATCCACAACAAAGGACAAATCTCAGTCACCTCCAAAGGGCATTTATTGGGTTGACATATCCCTGAAGATACTTACCAGGGGTTTTCAGAGAAACAGAACCAATAGGAGATGGATGTAAGGAATTGGCTCACACGATTATGGAGGCTGAGAAGTCCCAAGATCTTCAGTCCACAAGTTTGAGACCCAGGAGAGCCAAAGGTATAGTTTGAGTCCAAGTCTAAAGGCCTTAGAGCAGGAAAGCTGATGGTGAAAATCCTAGAATGAGCTCCAAAGCAGGAGAAGACCAATGTCCCAGCTCAAAAACAGGCAGAAAGAGAACAAATCCTTCCACTACATTTTTGTTCTAGTCAGGCCTCCAACAGATTGGATGAGGCCTACCCGTATTAGAGAGGGCAATCTGCTTTACTCAGCCTACTAATTTAAGTGCTAACCTCATCCAGAAACACCCTCATAGACACATCCAGAATAATTTTTAACCAAATATCTGGGCATTCTATAGTCAAGCTGGCCTATAAAATTAACCATCACATCTAGATTCCTCCAACTATAGTTTAGAGCAGTGGTTCTCAACCTTCCTAATGCCACGACCCTTTAATAGAGTTCCTCATGTTGTGGTGACCCCCAACCATAAAATTATTTTCGTTGCTACTTCATAACTGTAATTTTGCTACTGTTATGAATTGTAATGTAAATATCTGATATGCAGGATGTACTTTCATTGTTATAAATTGAACATAATTAAAGCATAGTGATTAATCACAAAACAATATGTAATTATATATGTGTTTTCCGATGGTCTTAGGCGACTCCTGTGAAAGGGTCGTTCGACACCCCCCCCCCAAAGGGGTCGCGACCCACAGGTTGAGAACCGCTGGTTTAGAGTATTAGTTACAGAAGAGTTTATCTAGGCCCTGAAGGGCACCCATGGTGGATAGATTCTGGTCAGTGTCACTTAGAAGAACTCAGATTTGGATGTCCATCTTGGAGATAACCCCCACACACATCCCCACCACCACCCACCTTTACATCCTCAGGGACAAATCTTGCAGGAATGAGGGAACTCATAATAAAGGGAAAGTTGAAACAGGGGACAGGCCGCCTGAGAAAAGCCAAACTATTTCTATTCTAATTGCATTATGGTCAGTGTAGAGGACATCAGTGCACTGTCTGGATTCCTCTAACTTGTCCCCTTCTCCCCAGCTCAGTGGAGGTGCAGGCTGAAAGCCCTCAATTGCCTGCCCTCTCCAGGAACTATCTTAGTTCCAAACACAGTGAGCTGAAGAAGTCTACCTCACCCAAGATCATGCTTCCCCCTTCCTGGTAATGTGGTAGAGCTTGTATTCAATGACTAGTCAACCAAGGGGTATACAGGCTCAGACTTCTCACCTCAAGTTTGGACAATTTTGAAAGGTTATCCCAGTCTGAGGCTGAAGCCAACACAGGCGACATGAGTAATTCTGTGACTGCAGCACAGCTAACTTCTCCCACTACTAATCGCACTTTCTTCCTTCCCTACAGCTGTTAAGCCCAGTAACGCTCTCCAGTAAATTTGCTGCATGTTATCCGGTCTTGGATTTACACCCCAGAAAGCTCAACTGAAACAATGAGATAACTCAAAATTTTAAATTATGTTAATTTTTAAAATAACTGTTCCATGTATACTTAGAAATGTATATGCCTAATTTCATGTTACTTTCA